GGGCCATGGGATCGGTCGGTAAAGGGGCTCCTTCTGTCGATTGCTCAGGCCTCTGGCCTGGCTCGCCTCCGGGCGCAGCTTCTCCAGCTCCCCCTCCCTGCTACCGTCTCCGCCCGAGCAGGGACGCTGGCCTACACAGCCTGAGTCCCAGGCCTGGAGCCGCTCCCTGCCCCTAGCATACATACCCACCCCCTCAAGTCTGTCCTCCAGGGATTTTGTTCCTCACTACTCACCTCTGTCCTCTGGCCCTATGGCTTTACCCGTGACTCTCCTGTACTCCCTGACAAGTCATTCCCAGCTGTCTCCATAACCTCTCTCGCTGTCCTCAGTCCTGTTCCTCTCACTGCTGCTCTCCTTGCCTACTTTCTCACCCCCTCAACTGTCCCCAGAAATGCCTCTCAAGGGTTGTCACTGCCTCACATGCCATCATTCTCTCTCACCTGTCTCCATCTTACCCAATCCCCTCCTCTGATCCAATCACTCCTCATTCATTCCATTCCTTGCTGCCTCTTCCACATTTCTTTTCACTTGTTCCCATTGCCCCTCACTAGTTTCCTTCACCTTTCCTTATCTGGACTTCAGATTCACAATGCACCTGTCTCATACCTTGCTTAGTTACACACCGACACCTATATGCTCAAGCATCCCAACTACTTAGACACATGCCTTACTCTGTCTCTCTGCTCACACACATCACTGGCCAACACTCTCATACACGCATGCACACTCTGACAGATAGTCACAGGAACCTCTGTAAGCCTTCTCTCCCTACACACCCACACTTTCACATCCCAAAGGGGTTGAGGAGGCAGTAATGGGGCAGCCAAGTTCCTTGTGTTGGTGTCTTCTATCTCTAGTCTGAGGCCAGTGTACCTAGTCCTCTGAGGCAGTGAGTAGGAAGGATGGTAGATAGGGAAGAGGCAGGTAACCCTCATTTATCTTCCGGCCTCCATTCCCTTTCCCACTTCCCCTGTTTCTTCTAAGTTTACCTATCTATAAAATAGAAGTAGAACTCAAATTTTCCTTTTCAACCTACAGAACCCACCATCACTAGCCCAGCAGAGATCATTCCGTCTAACTCCTAAAACAGTTCATTTGCTCTTCAGTCTTGTCCTTAATCTCTCTCCTCCAGCTTTATTCCAGAACCCTGCCCCCATCCCTGTCTCTCTTCATCCTATCATTGTCCTCATTGACCTCTGAATTCTGCTTGTTCCATACCCCACTTTGGCAGAAGGTGGGAAGGATTGTGATACCCCCATAATCCTGTAGTCTGAAATTGTGTGGTTTGGGGGAAACAGCTCAGCTGAGTCATTTGAAGAAAGACAAAAAATAAAAAAAAAGTGACATGAAGATCTCTTCCCCACATGTGCCCCATGGCACTCCATACCCTGTTAAAGGATGTTGTCACACCTTCGTATTCCACTAGCCAGGATGGCTACTACAAAGGAGTCCTAGGAAGTGATCCCATCCCAAAGAAGACAGGTTCATGGAGACCCAGTAGTTATAAATGTCTTAGACCATCTCATTTTCTCTCATCTTCCCCTCTCCAGCTTGAGTGGCTTTCTTCTTTCTCTTCCAGCTGTGACATTTCAGGGTCATTTTGAGGGCAGAGCATGTAAAAAGTACATGGGGTAGGATCATACTCCAGTTATAAACCCCATATGGATCATCAAAGATCTCAAAAGGTCACCTCTTCAGGCCAATGTGCCTACACACATGCTCACCACATACACACACATAAGCATACCCAGAGACACAGACAGGTTAATAGACAGAGACGCAAAGACACATATACAGATACACATGAGCACAAACAGACACACAGACACAAAGAAAAACCATACGTCAGGTCAGAGACACATTGATGGGCATTCAGACACACAGAGAAAGACTCACACAGAGATACATGCACAGATTCACACATATGCATACACTTGTATTCCTCCAAGTAACTCTCATAGTTGAGAATCTCTCTGAGAGCCAATCTCTACCCATCCTAAAAACAAGAGCTGTATTACTTTTTGTCAGTTCCTAGCAAAATAAGAAAGGTGTATTCAGAGGCTCTTCCTACTGCCCCTGCCCACACCTCTGCCATTTTTGCCTTCTGTGGGATTCTTTCCCACTTTCCAGCTCTCCTAGATACCCTCCGGCTCCTCTAATTCATCCTTAACTCTTTTCCCTTCTGAGTGCCTATGGGACTGCTGAAATCCATGTCTTGACTCCATCACCTTATGTTCACCCTATCGTTCATTTCTCAGTTTCCAAACCCCATGATGGTGTTGGTGGGTTCGGCTCTTTACAGAGAGCCTTATGTGCCTTTCAGCAGCTGCATCCTCCTCACTTCATTTCATCCTCAAAGCTGTATGATCATATCTCCCATGGGCGATTAGCAGGCATCTATCAGTCTGGTATGGATCTCTGTTTGGATTTCCCCTTGATCAGTAAGCCTCCCTTTTTGAAAAGCCACAGCGTGTGAGGATTTTTGTTGCACAGGGAAGTTATGGGTGGCTAGAGCTACAGGTCATTGAGACTGATTCTTGGCTCCGGGTCTCCCCTTCACAAGCATGGGTCCCAGTTTGGCACAGCCCTTTGGCTAGTAAGCCTTCCCTACAATAGTTAGCATATGTCTCTTTGGTGGACACTTGCCCCACGGCTGGTTTATACATCATTTTCCTCTCCTCAACATGTGTGTCCTGTTGCTGGTTTTCACATTTCCAGTTTGTCGTTTACATCTCCTTTCCTGTGGATAGTATTTCTATCTTCTCCCTGGACTCCTACCCGGCTATTTACACAACGCTTCCCCCCAGTAACCCCTGGAGTACCTGCCCTGGGTAGGATGCCTGACTGGAAAGTGATTTGTCTGGCAGAAATTCCCTCCTCCACATTTGCAAGGATGGTCCTGAACCAGCAGGCCGCCCCCACTCACGGAACCTCCCCACTCCCCCAGGTAGATGGCCCCCCAAGGGCAGGCCCTGCGGACACCCCTCCCTCCGGCTGGCGGATGCAGTGCCTAGCAGCTGCTCTTAAGGACGAAACCAACATGAGTGGGGGAGGGGAGCAGGCCGACATCCTGCCGGCCAACTACGTGGTCAAGGATCGCTGGAAGGTGGTGAGTGAGTGACCCGCTGTGCCAAAGGGAGAGGTGGGGAAGACAGGACCTGGAGACTTAAAAACAGGTGTCCTCAGAGCCCCGACCTTAGGAGGGAGGGGCCCCTGAGCTCATTTGCATACTGTTGGCAGATCATTATTTTTGCCTACAAATGTGGATAACCACTTTCTTCAAGTGACGCGTCTCCAGCCTGGCCCTCTCCCACCCCTTTCCCGGCTTGGGTCTGGTTTGTCGGGCCCAGCCGGGAACAACTCCTGGTTGAAGGTCCGGGCAGGAGCTGCAGAGCTCAGTGGAGGGAGGGGGAGGGGGGGCTCCTTCTCTGCTGGACCTTGGAGAAGGGCAGTGATGAGCATGTGTCCCTCCGATTCCGCAGAGGACGGAAAGGCTTGGGTTTGAGGGAAGAGGCCCTGCAGGCGGCTCCCACCGCACCCGCACTCCATCTTCTCTGTCCACCCTCCTCCCTTCTCTGGTTCCTGCGGCAGGTGCAACACGCCGAGACTCCATCTCCCAGCGTGCCTTGCTCCTCCAGCCCAGGATTTCAGGCTGCTCGGCCTTTTGGGAGTTGTAGTCTGAACCTTCTGGAGGAGGGGGCTGGGCTTGGGCGGAAGCGGGGGTCGAGTGAGGGTTGCGGGGAAGGCAGTGTCTGGGGAGTAGGGTCTACTGTAAATCAGCTCTCGCCCCACCTCCTTTCTTTTCGTCGCTTAAGAGCTTTCTGTTGTCTTCTTATGTGGGGCTGGGTAATGTTGGGCGTATTATGGGCTTGGCGCAAGTGTAGGAGAAACCAGGTTGTGAGCTTGTGGTCAGCACTGGAGTGGGGAGCCAGGCGGAAGGGAGGAAGAACTGTTGAGTTCAGGCTTACGATAAGTAAGTGTGTGTCTGTGCACGCGCTCACAGCTTTTTGGTAGGGGGAAGCTGAGCTCACTAGGGGTGCAGGGTTGAAGAACAGGATGGGGTCCAGGTGTAGGAGAGTCCCCATGGCAATAGCCACCCATCACAACAGTCCCCTAGAAACCCAAGGAGAAGGGTGGCAGCATTGTCTGAGATGGCTCTTGGATTAGGGGGAGGGGGAGAGGAAGGAGGAGTTGAGGGCACTCCTAGGATTGGAAGGACTTGGGAAGGTGGGTGAGGGGAGGGACTGTCATCATCCCAGAGAGGGACCTTCTGAAAGGGAGAATAACTGGACAGAAATTGAGGGAGAAGGGGGCCAGGGCAGTAATCAAAGGACTGAGGCTGGCAAAGTGAAAAGTGTTCTTCCAAGACCCTCTGAGACCCTTGGCAGAAATTCACAGTTTTTGGTAGATTGGAGGCAAGATGACATTTGTACTTAAAAGATGAGAAAAAGGTGATAGTCACATTGATGGTATTCACAGGAGTCTGAGTTCGAACTTTTGTTTTCTGAGGGGGAGAGAATGGAAGATGACATGACTGGAAAGACAGGCCGGCAGGGTGGTGGTAGAATGCAGCCTCTTGTCAGATCAGCTGACCGTCCTTACCTGGTCACCTCTCACAACAACCCCACCCCTGCCCCTAGAGACTAGAGAGGATGGGCTCCAATGTCTCCCCTCCAATGGGGCATGGGACAGAAGCCTGAGGCAGAGCTTGAGAACCAAGAATGCACTGCACAGAGATGGGCTGTAGTCAGGAAAAAATGGAAGTCAGTAGCACAAGTAGGGCATTTAAAGAATAATAACGTTTTATTCTTTCTGAGGAGTGCTTTTCAGGATGAAAATACTAAAGAATCCATCATAATAGAAACACAGCATTTGTTTCAAACACTTACTGTTGCCAGACTCTATGCAAAATGCATTACATACCTTATGTCAAGGGCCCCAGAACCACATTGCACAGGTGTGGAAACTGGGACACAAAGATTTGCCAGAATTCCATGACAGAAAAAGTGTGTCGTCTGCTGAGTCAATACAAGTTGACTAAAGTTCCCATAACTTAGCTCATCCAAGACTCACAATACTGAGAGATTCTTTGTTACTAGTTCTAGTTCAACTCTCTTGATTTTACAGAAGAAATATGGAGACTCAGAGAGTAAGACACTCATCTACATTATCCACATGTTGGTTTAACCTCCAAAAACAGGCCTCTCTTTCCAGATGAATGCTAGTCCTCTTGTACAGACTTCTCCAGTTTAGGAAAGTGCCTTCTGCAGGGGAGGGGATCATGAGAAATTTAGAAGAAAAGAAGTAGAATCTGGCAAAGAGAGGTTGAGACAATCTTCCTCCTACTGGGCTACGGGCAAGGCCACATTTTTACTTTTGGGGGCCCTTCCCTCTATTAAAAAATATTAAAAGTGGTATTTTATGACTGCATTGGTATGAAGATTAATATATTAATAAAACATTTTCTTTGACCAAAAAATTCACATCTTCCTTCTGATTTTAAAAGAAATTAGATAGAACATTTTCATGGGCTTCATTATTTTTGTTAAGTGTCATTAAGTTGGTTCTGACCCATAGCAACCCTGTATAGGGTTTCCGAAGAGCAGGTGGTGAGCCTGAACCACTGACCATGCGGTTCAAACTGACCTTACAGTCTAGCACTAGTACCACACTAGGACTCCTGTTGTTGTTAAGCACCATTGGAGTTGGTTTCAACCCATAGTGACCCTGAATAGGGGTTCCGAGGAGCGGCTGGTGAGCTTGAACTGCTGACCTTGCAGTTCAAACGGCTTTGCAGTCTGGTGCATTAAACCACAGCACTACACCAAGACGCCCTAGGACTCCGAGAGCCCCCCCTTAAAACTATGTGGGCCTAGTCATTTTGCATAATGGATGAGTCTGCCCTAACGATAGGACCCAAGAGGAGGGGTGTTAGGTGAGTGGGTGGATGCCCACCCTTCCATGTGGAAGGGATGGTGAGGTGGGAACTAAGAAAGTGGGCGTGGGCTCTGTTTGAAAATGAAATGGGTAGAGAAATAGCCTTGGGCATCCTGGAACTTTTCGGGAGTTGTGTCATCATGTCTTGACTACCCAGAGCCCTCCACACTTAGCACCTGCAAGGATTTTGGAACCTGGGATCTCAACACTCACACTTTTTAATATTTTATTGCATTTTTGGTGAAAATATACACAGCAAAACAGGATCTCATTCATCAGTTTCTACATATAATATTCAGTGGCACTGGTTGTCTTCTTCAGTTTGTGTCAACTTTCTTGTTATTTCCATTCTAGGTGTTGCATTGCCGTCATTTAGTCTCCCCACCGGAGAAAGATGAGGCTTTCTGCTCCCACAAAGATTTACAGCCTCAGAAATCCTATACAGGGTTGCTATGAGTTGGAATCGACTCAGTGGCACACCACCACCACCACCACCACCACCCACCCTCCAAGCTTCTCATGTATGCTTTAGAGTAACTGTTGCCTATTTGATTTCTTATGAGTAATTTTTAAACGAGCACAGTTCTCAAGGGTGAAATTCAGTACTAGCATTTTTAATTCTGATAAAATGGCTGACAGTTCCTATAACAGAGTAGTTAACATGTGGGTTCTAGACCAGATCAGGAGCCTTGGTGGTGCAAACAGTTTGCATTCAGCACTTAACTGAAAGGGTGGTGATTTGAACCCAACCAGAGGCTCTGCAGAAGAAAGGCCTGGTGAACAACCAAGAAAACACTCCGGAGCCATTTTACTCTGTAACACACGGGATCGCCATGAGTCCATGGGGATGACTTTTTGGTAGCTGACAACAGCAGACAATGTGACCTGAGGCAAGAAGCTTAAATTCTTTGTGCCTCGATTTTCCTTATGTGCAAAATGTGGGGACCTGCCTCCCCCAAGTTGTGGGGTGATCTCTGTGAATCAGGAGGACAGAACCTAGGTGGTTGTTCCATCCCCTTTGACCCTTCCTCCATGTCCACACAAGCTAACAGAACCAGAAAGGAACCTAGAAGGTATTAGAAATCTCCCCTGTGTTTAAAGTTCCCCAGGGGAAGACAAACTACTGATTCTCTCTAAGCTCCCAGTCTGCACACCTGGTTTAGAACTTCTTCCAGAAGTCTGACTTTAAGTTTCATCTCACACAGAGAGGGATTCTGGTTTCTCATTGTTCTTTCTCCTTCCTCTTTACCTGTTTCCTTACGGTGTACAACAATCTTCAGGATCTCACCCAGCCCACCACTTCTTTTCTAACTCTTCCCCTTCATCCTTCTCTTTCTAGAGGGGTTTTCACTGTAACCTGCTGGGAACTCCCAGCCCTCTAGCATGAGACTGCTCCTTTTTTCTTTCCATTCCCGTATTCCAACCACCACTAAATATTTACTGTGCTGGATAGACCCAGGGGTGTAGAAGGTGACAGCCTGGTTGGGGGCTCTGAGCTGTCTTGTTTAGATCACTAGCAAGTCTACCTGAGACTGCTGACTTACAGCCCAGCAGGTCACAGCAAGGGCTCCTCCGGAAGATGCTCAGAGAGAGCTCCTAGAGACATGAGACTTGAACTGCCCATCTCTCTTCAAGCAACAGAGCCCAATCTAGACTCAATATTTTCTGCCTGCTTCTGCCTCACCGCCAGCAGCACCCTCACCCTCCAAGACCCTTTAGACCTCTGACTTAAAATGACTTTGAACCCCTACCACTCAGCTCTGCTTAAGCAGTTCTCCCCTTCTGCCTTTTCTCCCCCTCTGCACCCCCAGGTCTGCCCCTCTTTACCTCATCTCTCAACTTCTCACCCAACAGCCCCTCAGCAAGTGGCTCCCTTTCTCCAGGTCTCCCCTCACAGGTCTTGTCCCTCGTGGGGTTGCTAAATCCCTTGGTTCTGTCACACTGCAGTGAAAGGCTGGTGTGTGCCCAGCCTCTGGGAAGACCCTTTCCTCTTCTCCCTTCTCCGTGTCTTCTTCATCAACAGGAATTTAGTAAGCACCTATGTTGGTTGCCAGTAAGGAGCCTTGGTGGCGCAGTGGATAAAGTGTTTGGCCGCTAACCAAAAGCAACTCAGAGAAAGATGTAGTAGTCTGTTTCTATAAAGATTACAGCCTTGGAAACCCTATGGAGCAATTCTACTCTGTCCTATAGGGTTGCTGATTTGGAATCCACTCGGCGGCAGTAAGTTTTTCGTTTGTTAGTTTAGTTTCCTTGGGTGATACTAATTGAAATGTGGTGTTTCAAACCCAACTCAGAAGAAAGGCCTAGTGGTCTACTTCTGAAATACCACAGCCACTGAAAACGCTATGGAGCACAGTTCTACTCTGCACAGATGGGGGTCACTGAGTTAGGGCCAACTTGATGCCAACTGGTTTGGTTTCTAGTTTAGGTATCAGGCACCTTCTAGGGCCTCTGGACCCAGAATCTAGGCCAAAGATCTTTTTTTGCCCTTCCCTCACCATCTTCTTTTTCAAAAAATTATGAATTGACCCCCCATCCAAAAAAAAAAAAAAAAGCTAAAGAGGATAGAGAGAAACACTGTAAACTGATGATATATGGAGGGGATAATAATCAATGTAATGAAACAAGCTATATGAATGGTTGAATGTGAAGCTGATGATGTGCCCTGTAAACTTTCACTCAATGCAAAATAAAAACATTTAATTAAAAAAAAAATTATGAATTGAGTGAAGATTGATAGCTTAGTTCCAACAAACTTCATCTCAATGTAACATCCCTTCCCCCGTTTCCTCCCTGTGTGTCTTGTTTCCATTCTTCCTCCTTTTCCGAGCCTTCTGAACTTTGTCCTTGGGTAATGCTGTCCTTTTGATCTCAAATGGTTGACTATTCTCTGTTGTGCACACCTCACTAGTGCAGCCAGCTCCCTGTCCTAGGGTGTCTCCACCCTAAGCAGAGCTGCCCTGCTATAGCTGTCGCCCCACTGAGCCCATTGCTCAGGGCTGCAGTGGGTGGCAGGGTGGTGAGGTTTGCTGCAGGGGTCCTGGGTCTGCTGCTGAGTGTAATGCGTTTGAGACTTTGTTCTTGAGAGTAAGGGTGGCAGGCTTGGAATGGTTCTGAACACCCAGCTCAATCCTGCCTCCCTTCTTCCCTTCAGAGATGGGACTATGAAGGGGAAGGGTTCTCAGATTGCTTTGACCTCAGGAGTCTGGTGTGAACAAAGTGGGCACTGTTGACCTATCAGCTTGATCATCTCTCCTCTTTCCTTCCCACGTGAAGGTTCTAAGTGGGCTGGAATTCTGGGGGGAGGAGGGCCAAGCAGGTTGACTCACTGCTATACTGCCCCCTGGAATGGACAGGTTCTTGGGTCTTCGTCTCTACCACATTGCCACTGTGTCCCACTACCCTGCAGGTAAAGGTGCACCCTGGCTCTCTCTGGGCATCTCAAGGGTCTGGAGTGGTGTGAGCTTCCAAAATGAGCATGGGCAGTGAGCACCCTTTGCTGAGTCCTCTCCCACTTCTCCTTCGACTTTCTTCCTCTGGTGACATCTTTCAGAAGACTGCCAACCCCAGGAAGAGCCAGCTTCCCTAGGGATCCACCCTGAGGCTGATGTCCTGGAACTTGGTTTTCCTTTTGGATGGGGCTGCTCAGCCTAGGTGGGAATAGTGTTTTTTGCGCAGGTCCAGGGCAGCCCTGTTATCTCCTCAGAATCCTGCAGAAGCATCTCTCCATGTCAGTATGGAGTTACAGGCCTCCTCCTTTCTCACTGCCACTCTGACACCTGACTCTGTGTGTGCATATGTGTGCTCTGTGTGTGACTGTACACCTATGGGCCAAGCTGCCTGTCTCAAGACACTAGGAGGGGAAGCAGGGGTAGGGATGTGGTGGAACAAGAAAGGGAGACATGGATCCTTCCCTTCAAAGATCTCCACTGCCCCCATCAATGAAGGAGGAGCCCCAGCATGGGTAGGATAAGGAGCTGCTCAGTCTGCTCAGTCTGTACCTCCCAACCCCCGTCTCTGCAGCTGAAGAAGATCGGGGGCGGGGGCTTTGGTGAGATCTACGAGGCCATGGACTTGCTGACCAGGGAGAACGTGGCCCTCAAGGTGGAGTCAGCCCAGCAGCCCAAGCAGGTCCTCAAGATGGAGGTGGCAGTGCTCAAGAAGCTGCAAGGTGTGGGCATGAGTAGGGGATGGGAAGGAAGAGGTGCGGGAGGCAGGGACTGGGGGAAGAGCTGTAGTGTGGTGGAGAGAAGACGCAGTGGAGTCAGGAGCTATGGAGGAGTTGATGGGTTAGGTGGGATGGGACTATAGCTTGAGGAGGTGGTGAAGTCAGAGTCTAAGAGATATATGATGGGGCAAAGAGAGGTGATGGGAAGGGTGGTCCTGGGGCCAGGGCCAGGGGACAAGGGGGCACCTGGAGCTTCAGGTTGGAAGGGAGAAAGGAATTGGAATTGGGAGACCTTTGTCTGTACCCCTCAGGGAAAGACCATGTGTGTAGGTTCATTGGCTGTGGCAGGAACGAGAAGTTCAACTATGTAGTGATGCAGCTGCAGGTGAGTCCTTGTGGCCCATCCTCCCTCCCGGTAGGCTGGGCTGTGATTCCTGGGATGGGGAGGGAAGGAGACTCCTGGCAGGAGTAGGAAGGAGTCCAATTTTGGGGGCAGGCTGGGTGGACAGTGTGTGGTGGTGGTGGTTGGACTGGCCACTGAGGCAGACCTGCTCCCACCTCCCAGGGCCGGAACCTGGCTGACCTGCGCCGCAGCCAGCCGAGAGGCACCTTCACGCTGAGCACCACACTGCGGCTGGGTAAGCAGATCTTGGAGTCCATTGAGGCCATCCACTCTGTGGGCTTCCTGCACCGGGACATCAAGCCGGTGAGTGCTGCACCCCACGCCACCCTCTCTCCGGAACCCTGTTTCTTTAGAACAGTCGTGGAGCCAGCTCAGCCACTTCTACCTGCACCTCCTTCTGCTCTCCATCTCCTCCACTCCCCTGCCTCCCAGGAGTGC